TACTCGCTGAGTCCTGTTTGACAGAAAACTGAGTATCCAGCGTCCTACTTTACCGGTTATTCCCATTGACTTTATTTTGTGTGCTATCACGCCATGGTCACATTTATCGAAAGCCTTTGCGAAGTCCGTGTATATCACAGGATATATCATATCCTGAAGGCTGCGCCTGCGCCGAATCCGATATCACTGGCCTACCATGATGGGAAGAACCCCTAACCCTGGCACGACCCTTCTGGGAAGGGCCCCCATGAGACCCCCCAGAGGACCAACAAGTCCAACATTGGACGACAACTAGCCGAAGTAGCCTACAGACTCTGCAAACAGCAACGGACAAAAAGGTGAAGACAACTAAAGAGCCAGGACCCAAGTGGATTTCAAGAAAGAAGCGAGCACCACCTGCTGACACGCGAGTCGAGAAGCAAAAAAACCTGAAACCGTATCCCGCAGGAGCGGCGCGAACAGCTTCAATAATGCAGACGACGTATGCACCACCAAGGACAACACACTGGATCCAGAGGCAGCCCCAAGCTCCTCCACATCCAACTCAAGCCAATCTGAGGACAGCTTGAGGAGGGAGAAGAACCGCAGGGCCGAAGCCAACAGGCCACATGTGCGCAACTCCTCCGTGACCAGAGCAGCCAAAAGGGACGGAACCTGCACATGAAACTGCATCACACCAACGTCCCATGGAAGGGCAGGGGTGAACAAACACACATTGAGATGCGCAAATTCGCCCCCCAGGAAAACCTGCAACGCCCTCCACTCAAGCGTGTGGGACCTACAGAACGTATGCCAAGCCTCCAACGAGAAGAGAGGGCAGTCTGCTAACCAGAATGACTCCAGAACTTCATAACGAACCCAGTACGGACATGAAGATCCACATACGAAGGAACACGGATCAATCACGAAAGCATAATCCGGGTCATGCAGAAGGTAAGCGGCAAGGGGCTTCCCGCACCACATGTGACAGGGACACGAGAAGCCGAAAACCTACGGAAGGACGGGACCGAGGAATCCACAGGATCACGGAATCGTACCCGGGAAGGGGTAAACGCCAAATCCAATTCGTATGAGGAGGGAGCAAAGGAGAACCCCTCTCCTTGTAACACCAAGCCTCACTCTGAGGGTACATTGGACCCTCCCCCAAGGCAGGGTCTAATGGGTCCCAAGGTCCCCAAGGCAACCTCTTCCCCGTCCTGGGAACTCACCCCGAGGACTCAGAGCCGAGCCATCCTTCAAACCCCTCGTCTCTAAAGAAAAGGCAGGAGCAGCCGAAACAGCAGGAACGAAGAGAGGCCACTGGTCAGACACAGAAGCTCCAGCTGGAGGAATAGGCTCAATGCCTCCGCCACCACCACAGAAGGAGACTTCCTCAAGACAGCCCGAGTCTCAACACCAAGTAAACCCTGCCCCGACTCTGAAACCCCCAGACGTTTCAGAGCAGGAGGCAAGGGGGAGGAGGGACTGGATGAACAACCGAAGGGGAAGGACAAGAAGGGGCAGACAGAACCAAAGTCGAAGCGACTCCCACTCCAAATTCCAGGTCCTCTAGCCAAAACGGGGCAGTCTCGGGGCATCCAGGTGTGAGAGGATGGTTTCTCAAGATTCTCCCACAGCTGACTTGAATGGCTCATCGCAGTGCACAGTGCACCGATATCGTGCACAAGCCCTATCTCTGTTAACCCTGGATAGTAAACTGGCATGTTGGGTATCTCCAGGATGTCCACTTAACCAGGAATACGTTTATAATATGGAGGCCGCCATATGTCCAGGCAGGAAGCAGATACAGGGAAGTAAGCATACTTGCTACAGGGTCAGAGAGTACACAGGAGGTGCCAGGCGTGGGAGAGGGAGAGGGAACGCCAGCTCAGGCGACAGATCTGACCTCTGGGGTCAGCCTCAACCGACGCGATGGAGAATAACAACTGTGACGTGTTCATGATGTCACCTCTGCTACTGATCAGGGAACTATCAATATGACTGGTTCCCGCTCTTTTGCTGCTATGCCATTAGTCAAATTGTAATCCCTTGTGTGTGTCCCACAAGATGCCCTGCATTCACTTGCAAAGGCATTCACGTGAGGGAGCCCATGCATAGAGGACGTGTCCTGTTCTGTTTATCGGCCAATAGACAGAAGAACACCATCTATTCCTCACCATCAAGTTAAACTCAGCATCTTTTCGATATACCAACGTTTGCCTGGAATCGCGATCGTGACTATATTGCTTAGAAGCCTAGTGACAAATCACCAGAGCGAAACAGACTGGTATCAGGTAACCCCTGGTGACAAGTTGAGATCATTGTGAGTGACCTAGAGTGAACTAAGGAGTGCCGCTGCCTAAGTAACCTGTGTGGGACTTTACCACAGTGTACCGCATGGTACCATATAACCTGCAGCCGCCAGCCGCCACTCTGTCCCGAGCGTGTAGCCAGCACACCGCCAGCCGCTGCCCTCACGGTACTACATGACGTCACCACCCTTACCGCCAGTGCCAGAGTGTGTGCTTGTGTCTGTTGGCATACAGTGCGCCCTCTTGCGAGTACCCCCGTGTCAAGTACAGTTTATGGGAAAGCCTGTCGTCAATGGTCTCACGTCATAACAAGGAAACCAGCTGTCAGGCCACCTACAAGTTCTTGCATAAATGTGCCTGAGTGAGCGAGTGAATAAGAGAGGTAGCCTACCTGTAAGTACAAGATCTTGTCATTGTTTTATTGTGTCTGTGTTGATCTGAGGTATCAACCACAGTTCTCACCTTCTCATACCTGACACAGGTATAGGTGAAGACACCCCGACGGTGTATGCGTGTTTATCTGTGTGGTATCACGACATTACACTCGTCTGTGAATGTGAGCTTCACATGCACCACACATTTAGTTATTGTGTGACATTATTAATATTGTGTATGTTATTGCCTGTCCCATTGACAGTGTACTGTATTTGTGATTTATTGCATATCATCATTACCACAAGTATCCGGTTGGAACTCTTGTAATCCCTTTGCATACCGGCAACTAGGTTTGCCGTGTTAATGATTGGCTGTCAATTGTGTTAAGTTAGGTGTTTCTCCACGAGTGGATCCAAATCGATTAGCCAGACGTCAAGAGTCTCGCTAATGCAACCATAGCCTTTCTGACACCAATCTAAAGTAAATCAAGCACCCTTTGTATTAGTGGTTAAGTTAGTAAATAAACTACTGTTAAGCTTTATGCAGTGTTTACATTGAACCACTTCTGAATACTGCCAACTATTTACTCAAGCCTTCAGCTCTAGGTGTCTTCAACACCGAGTTGCCTAATTCACTAAATTATAAATGTGATGAGGATCCTAGGAGTCCCTTAAAGTGTTTCAATCATTGAGGAGATTCCAACGATCAACATGGACCAGGACCAGGTGAGGCTCGTTTGAGAAGAGACCCTCAAGGGCTCTAACTTGACCTTGCTCCCAGGCCCTGTACGGTTGCTCTCATATTTTCTCTGCTGATTCCGACAGCTTCGTGAAGCATCTGCCACATGTACATTGGCAACGTAGGCATTGCAGTCGGGAAAGCAAAATAGAAAACCCCCACACCAGGGAATCAACGAACCTATCATGTTGCATCAACCGAAAACGAGCAAGTAACGCCTCTGCTGCCTGCACCCATCATATCATGTTCAGTAGCTTGGGTGAACTGGAGCACATACAAAGAACAAACATCGCACGACTCCGGGTCAAAAAAATCACCGACCCAACAAGCAGCATGGTGGAGGCACATGCTGCCTGAAACCCCCTAGGCGCATGCAGTCCGAGTACCGTAGAATATTACTCCTGGCTCACACACTACCCGTAAAAACAGACCACGCCACAAGGCACAAACTAAAACCAATGCAGGAGCCAGAGGCACATGACCTGCCAGTATCACATTAGCCAAGAACTGAAGGTTGGGTCGCCAGCACGAGGGTCTGGGGCGCCCCATTCCCCCTTCTGGGGAGGAGGTGTTGCCGCGACACGGCAACATGATGACGTCATGTTCGTTTGCTAATTTTCGTTCGGGGAGTTCTGTCCACTCATTCGGCTTTCGACAGCAGTTTTTTCACCAGAATAGGGATTTGTTTTGGGGTGTTACCTTTCTGGGTGCCAGACCCGGATGATGGCAGACATAGAATGCTCCTCGTGCCTCTCTGAAGGGGCCATGTTTTGGCTCGTGGTCCCCGGTAGGCAAGACTTCCATGCACATTGACCGATGCCAGAAAGCTAATATAATACATATCAGCCTGGATAGCTCTGGGGAGCCAACGGGGCTCCCCCTCGAACAACTGTTGATTGATTAACAGTTGAAAGGCGGGCCGAAAGAGCAGGGCTCAACCCCCTCAAGGACAACTAGGTGAACTAGGTGACTACATCAGTCTATGAACTGGCAGTTGGAGCATCCCGGCTCGCCTGAGCGGGCTACCCCTTCCCCCCCTTTTGGGGGAGATGGGGGCTCTAATGAGCAGGCGCACTAGTTGGATAACGACTTGCTTGTTTATTTGTTTTCTTTTGGGTGGAGTTCTTTGGCTCTGTTCGGATGTAGGTTGCAATTTTCACCAGTTGGAGGTTTGTATTGTTACGCTTACCTTTCTGGGGGTATACCCCGGTCGATGGCAGAAATGACATACTCTAAATGTAAAGTGCTCATATGGCCATTGCTCCCCTGTGCCTCTCTGATGGGGCCAGGTTCTGGCTCATGGTCCCCAGTAGGCAGAACTCCCGTAACTGATGTCCCCAAACTAATATAGCACATCAGTCTGGATAGCTTCAGGGGGGCCAACGGGGCTCCCCACAGAAAGGGCACATATAATTTACCATACACAAAGACCTGTTGTTTGCACCAAAGTGTTGCCACACATTTTATCTACTTTTAGACATGCTTTACTGTATTTCAGTTTTTTCAATATTTTTTGCCAATGTTGGTGATTTGGGGCCCCCATAATTTAATTAAATGATTATTAATAAGAAAAAACAGTGTACAGCAGAGACTTACCTGCTGTTTGAGAATCATACCCATCTTGTCTTTCCATCTTGACCGATAATGGAAACCTGTCTCGTGTGTGATCACCATTAATCAGAAGTTCAGGTTGTTCCCCACAACACGTTTGACTGACAGTTGAGACACTTGCATCACATCGTGTAGGCATATCACATTGAGTCTCAACACTGCCATCTATAAAAAATGTGCTGAACAGCAGATTCATGCTAGGTCCGCAGCCATCACACGGGTCCGTCTGCGTTGCTATTGTGTTCGGTAGATTTGATAGGGGACAATGGCACTCTAGCAACGGCTTTTCTTTTCTTTTGGCAAATGACACAGGAGCAAATGTTGTAACAACCGGTTCTTTCATTATCTCACTCTCACTGATAAGCTCTATACTGTTACTACCATCAACATGAATCACTTTTGAATGTTTTTCTGCATCAATGTGCATTACTTCAAGAGTTTGGCCACCATTCAGGTGAATAACTTGCACTGTTACGCCATCATCCATATGCACTACTTCCATTCTTTCTCCATCTGACATGTGAATGGCATTCACCGTCTCTTTGTTACGCACACACTTCAGTTTGGATCTTGGGTTCTCCTCCACCCGCACAACTTGAACCGACGCCTCTGAACTATCACCATCTGTTCTCTCATCGACCACTACAATACAGTGGTGATTGTGTGCATCTTCATACATGGTGGCATGTATCTCTCTCTCTCTCTCTCTCTCTCTCTCTCTCTCTCTCTCTCTCTCTCTCTCTCTCTCTCTCTCTCTCTCTCTCTCTCTCTCTCTCTCTCTCTGCCTCAGACAAGACAAGGATGTTTATGTTATTCTTTAAAACAAGAATAATAATCAACAACCTTACATTTTTCACATTGATACGAACGAGTCCTTTGGTCTTGTTTTGCTGTTATCTAAAAAAAAGAAAAAATCAGTGAAAACATACTAGGCTTACATTAGATAGCAACAACTTATGATTAATTATGTAACTTTAATACTAAGGGAATCTGTTAGCAAATTGTAACAATTAGAAATGAATTTGTAGAAAGAAAATCAATAGAAAGAATAATTCATTTTGTCAAGGAGAGGCAGCTTGCCTCTCTTGCCTCACAAATCAACCCATCCTCCGAATTGACAGTACGTTTTAATACTAAGTGTAATAAGTACATTTCCTGACTGTCATACATAGTATATAATTGCACTTATAGGGCTGTAACAGTTACCTCCCCATTTAATTCTCCTCGTTTTCTGTCAAGACACTCTGAATTTTAGGATGAAGTTTTAAAGTTCAGTTGGCTATACACAAGTTTTAAATATCAGGAATTTCTTATTCAGTTTTAATAAACAATAGAGATTTTGTACAAAATTTTAAAATATCCTGAGTCACTTTACAATTTACTGATATATTTTTGTTTTGTTTTATTTGTTTTATAAAACTATAATATCAATATAGCTATAGGTTAAGTAGTAATTGTAATTAAGAAGCAATAAAATGCTTATCTTCAAAAACTAAGGCGGTTAGGTTAGGTCATTGTTTTCTATTCAGCTTTTCAGGTAAACTCAATTATTCACAATATATTTGATAGTATAATTTAATACTAAGTGTAAGTAAGTACAATTCCTGACTGTCATATATAGTACAGTACATAATTGCACTTATGGGGCTGTTACATTTACTTCCCCATTTTTGGAGGACAAGCTACACAAATACACAGCTTGCCAGCTTGTGTATTTATTATAATAATAATAATAATAATAATAATAATAATAATAATAATAATAATAATAATAATAATAATAATAATAATAATAATAATTGATTCACAAGAAGGTACAATGGGTTGGTGAGATTACATAAGATTTGTATTTTTACATTCCTGCAAATCCACTAACACGCATAGCATTTCGAGCAGGTCCTTCATCTTGTACATTGTACAGATGAAGGACCTGCAGAAACATTGTACTGTAGCAAGGTTTTATATCAACAAATAACTACAATATAAATTGACAGAGGTGATTACACTGGTAAAGATCTATGTCTTAAGTACAGTACTAATATTGGGGAAGTGGGTAGTACAAGATACAGTGTGGGTATAAAGCACAAGGAAGGAAACTATGAGGATGAAAGTAGGTACTTTTTGGCTTTACTTTTGAATAGGGCATAGGTTGGACAATTTTTTAATTCATCAAACAGTGAGTTCCAAAGACTGGCTCCTTTTATTTGCATGGAGTATTTGCACAGATCTAATCTGACTTTTTGGATAACAAAAATATATTTGTTTCTGGTGTGGTGGCTCATGGGTTCTATTACACTTGTCAAGGAAAAATTTCATATCAAGATTAGCATTTAGGAACAAGGTTTTGTACATGTAAATAGCACATAAGAATGTGTGTAGTGAGTGTATGTTTAGCATGTTAAGGGACTTTAACAGAGGGGCTGTGTTGTCTGAAGACAGAATTTGTTATAGTTCTGAGAGCAGATTTTTGCTGAGTGATGATGGGCTTGTGGTAATTGGAAGTGGTTGAACCCCATGCACAGATACCATATGTAAGATACAGATAGATTAGCACATAGTATAATGAGAGAACAGTCAGGAACACAATATCTGATTTTAGAAATTATTGTATATTGAACGTTTTTTGAGACTTTTTGGCTATGTATTGTATGTGGATGCTGAAATTCAGTCTCTTGTCTATGTTTATGCCAAGGAACTTTCCCTCATTTTTACTGCTAATGTTAACATTGTCTATCTGAAGTTGAATTTGATTTGATGATTTACTACCAAATAAAACCAGCGTTGAATGTAATGAAACTCCATTTTCTGGGTGAGTCCCGGAGGCTCCCCCGGAGCTATCCCAGGCTGATATGCTAATGTCAGACTTTGGCATCAGTCATATGTATAGAGTTCTTAGGCCTACCGGGGACCACGACCAGAACCAGGCCCCCTCAGAGAGGCAAGGGGAGCAATAGCCTATAGAAGCCCCCCGTGTGGTTGGAAGCATTCTATGTCTGCCATCGACCGGAACAGGCACCCAGAAAGGTAAGCGCCTCAAAACAAACCCCTATTCTGGTTACAATTGCTACCAAAAGCCGAACTAGTGGATAGAACTCCCCAACCGAAATCAAGCAAACTAGTGTGACGTCACACACTGCCGCGCCGCTGTCTGCGCAGCTTCCCCCTCCCCAGGAGGGGGAAGGGGGAGCCCCAGACCCTCCACGCCGGCTACCCACACCTCAGTTCTTGAGGCTGGATGTCAAAAACGCGAAAAAACGCCGACCGGAGGGAGGGAGGGATGCCGGGGAGCCTCCGGGACTCACCCAGAAAATGGCGTTTCATTACATTCAACGCTGGTTTTCTGGGGGGAGCCCCGTCGGCTCCCCGGAGCTAACTACCCACAGACGGAAAAAGAGGGACTTACCCGGGAGGCGGTCGTCGCTCACTCCTCAACTCGAAGTCGAGACAACTGGCTGCAACTGCCGACCCAAAGCAACACAGGCCCGACGGGGCCCAGGGACATTCACAAGGTAACGAGCAGCCAGGACCCTGTTCAACCACCAAAATCCCCGCGCCCGAATATCAGACCAAGACATATTCCCAAAGAACGCAGCAAGAGCCGCGAACTTACGAATGTCATGGGCACGGGGATAGACCGCAGGTTGGCTGGACTTAATAACCCTGTGGACGACCTGCGAGACCCGAACCCGCAAACAGGGAAGAAGGGAAACCGGATCAACCCACAGCGCGTCCCCGGACACAGAAGCCGTGGCACGCAAATAACGGCGAAGCGCCGCAACCGGACACAAAACATGATGCACCCCCGGCCTGACCAACCAAGCATCAACCACCCGTGGACCCCTCCGGAACGCAGCAGTCTCATTCTTCGCCAGGAAAGAAGGAGACGGCTGCAAATGAACAAAACAATCACCACGACCAAAAGAGCAGAAACCCCTGCGCTGGAGGAGAGCATGAAGCTCCCCTACCCGACCCCCAGAGGCCAAAGCCAACAAGAAAAGTGCCTTGGAAATACAATCCTGGACCGAAGGGGCCACAACGAAACGAAGAGACGAGCACTCTGTCCAAAGCGAGCACTCTGTCCAAAGACCAGGACGGCTCAGGTGACGCATGAGCAGGCCGGAGGTGAAACAATGCACGAGACATCTTGCGAAACGGCGCAGACGTAACATCGATACCGAAAGCAAGCTGAAGCTGCTCCGCCAGCGCCGCATGATACGAGGCGACAGTGTTAGGCATAAGATGACGGTCCTGAAACAACCACGAGAGGAAGGACAAGACCACCCGAACAGACAAGGAACTAACACGACAAAGACGCAAAAAGAAACAGAAGGACCGCCAGGAAACTTCATACTGCCACCGAGAAGAAGCCCTCGGGTGGGACACCAACAAGGAGGCCACCTGATCACCATAGATTCAAAAAACCTATACGCGAAGACTCGAGGAGAAGATCGAACCAGCCACGTGACGTACCGGCCCGATCTGCTGAAAGAGGCGGAGCCGCGGGAAAACCCTCGGGTTCGGACACCGAGCAACCAGCGCCTGAAACCAAGGCTGGGCCGGCCACCAAGGGGCCAGAAGGACAACTCTCCCCTGGTAAGTCTCTAAGCGAGTCAGGACCTGGAGCAACAGCCGAACTGGGGGAAAGAGGTACAGGTACCCCCACCTCGACCAGTCTAGCCGAAAGGCATCGACCCCGATGGCCTCGCGATCAGGGAAGGGCGCCGCATAAACGGGAAGACGCCGCGACCACACCGACGCGAAGAGGTCCACCTCGGGGCGCCCGAACGTCTGGCAAAGATAACGGAAGGACTCGTCGTTGACCGTCCACTCCGTGGAGAGGGGAACGAAGCGAGACAGGGCGTCGGCCAAGAAGTTGGACACGCCCCGTACGTGAACCGCCAGGAGAGCCAAACCCCGAGAACTCAGCAGACGAGTCACCCGAAGCGACCAGCCCCAAAGAGACAAGGACCGCATCGAACCCCCGCGGTTCAGGCAATGAACCACCAGAGAGCAGTCCGAATGGAGCCGAATCGTCGATCCGCGGGCCACTCGAATCCTCCCCAGAGCAAACCACACTGCAGCGAACTCCCGCACCGTGCTGTAAGCTCGACGGAAGGACAGATCTCAACGCCCCTGGCCGGCCTGGTGAGCACTGGTCACAAAACCCCAGCTGAGAGACGACGCATCCGTGTACACATCGAGCGACGGCTCGGGTAGGCACCAAGGCACTGAACCCCGAAAAACCCGAAGAGGAAGCCGGTGACGCAGCAACCGACGCAAGGCCCCCGGGGGTCGAACTCTGCGATCGCGAGAGAGGCGGAAGGGGGAACCCCGAAGGAACCAGAACAGCTGTCGAAGCCAAACCCGACCCGGCGGGTAGACCACCATCGCGAAGTTCAGGCTCCCGCACAGCCCCTCGAGCAACCGCTGGGTGACCCGAGGGCCCTCCAGAAACAGACGAAGGCGGGACCGCAGCTGCACTGGAGACTCCGGAGGGAGAGACAAGGAGGCGGTTCGAGAGTCCCAAACGAGACCCAGCCAAGTCCGAACCTGAGAGGGAACCAGATGGGACTTCCTCCAGTTCACCAAGAACCCGAACTCGGCGAGCTGGGAAAGAACCAAATCCCTGGCTAGCAAGCAAGCTGACCAGCTGGGAGCCCAAACCAGCCAGTCGTCGAGGTAGGCCAACACCCGAACACCCAGGAGACGCAAACGAGCCACCACAACCCATGTAAGGTGTGTGAACATGCGAGATGCCAGGTTCAACCTGAACGGGAGACAACGAAAGCGGTAACTCAGACACCCCACAACAAAACCGAGCCAGTCCCTGAACCGTGGATGAATCGGGACGTGCCAATAAGCGTCCTGGAGGTCCAGGGACACCTTCCAAGCTCCCG